TGTTGTCGTTTTATATGGGGTAAGTTGTCGTTAACAAAATTAATGAGAGAAAACTGTTTATTAAGTATTATAAGTGTTTAATAACATTAAAAATATATAAATAACTAACAATATTATATCTATATGAAATGCAAGGTTACAAGTGATGACTTCCGATGATGATCGGAATCGCAATGTAGACATACGTAATAGGGATTGCCGCCTGTGCAACTTTCATGGGCCCAAAATTTACATTTCGTGCATTGCAATCAATCTATTGTGGATAAACTGTAACGACCATGGCATACGAGGCAAAACGTTTCTTCTTCTTCCTCTTCATCAGAGGAGGTTACTTCTTCCCTAATTTAATAAAAAATAATTTAATTACAAACATTTTTTTCCTCTTTCATTTTCGCCTAAAATCAACTCTTGAAAAGATACATAACTAACTAGGAAGAAAAATATGACATTTTTCAAATTTTTTTAACATATTGTGCCGCCAAAAGCCCACGTTTTTTTATGCGCATAGAAAAATGTTCATTTCTAGTGATATTTGAAAGCCAAAAAGCTAAAAATCTCCGTGGATATACGATTCACCCAAATATGGACTTTTTGAAACAGATACCGTCTGGACTAAAGGTCTATGATATGATCTCACATCGCAATTCATCTTCTAGTTGATTTTGACAGGACAACGCGACCTTTGTTATTATTACAAGTTCTTCACCTTTACTCCCTTCTACAAGAGTACCGCGGTTTGATACTCCAACTTTGTTTTGCTAGACCAAAGTCCTTTTAGAAATTTGGATGTCGCTATCAGATTCCTGATAAGGATATCGATGAGCAGATACAGTTATTGCAGGTTCTTCACCTTTACTCACTTCTACAAGAGTTCCCGGTTTGATACCCTGACAGGTTATTTACAGAATAAATTGCAATTTCAACTTTGTTTTGCTAGACCAAAGTCCTTTTAGAAATTTGGACTTCGGTATCTAGTAGTAAGCAGCCATGTTTAGATTCATTTATCATTCATGCCTGATAATAATATCGATGAGCAGATATACAGGGTGATTCATTAATAATAGGACAGAGCTTAATGGCAGGTTGTTGACTTCAATATAGAACGATTAAGCCAATTATGCCTTATCCGAATGTTGCTCCCTTTCGATCTACAGAATGTTAAAGTTGAAAAATTGTTTTCGATTTTTTGAAATATCTTGAGCATCTTTGAACCGATAGTCTTGAAAATTGGTATGCCTACGTTTTCTGAGGTGGTAATTACGAAAATGATAATTATTTTGCAATCAGTTCTAGGGGGCGCTACTTGTAGTATTCTGTCAGAGTAAAAATATATCAAACTCTTTTGTCCCTCAAAAGTCTGAATTTCCAATAAGAAATTATTAAACTATGTTCAATTCTAAATGAATAAAAAAAAATTTACCTGTTTTCGAAATGATGATTTACAATTTTAGGGTTTCAGTGGAAATTAAATCAGAAAACTATTTATTTCAGAGTAGGCCTCGAAATACGTAGACTTAATTACGAATTAAGACTTACACAATAACAACTGAAACTTTTATTATGCTTACGTCTTTTACGTTTACGTCTAATTTACGAATTACCTTTATCTCGACCATTGTTGAAAAACATTGTCCTTTGAATATCCTTTTGATACTCAAATAGGAAGTCACAAGGATCATGTCGGGAGAAAAGGGTGATTGCGGCGCACAGTGTACTAAATTGATAAGTCGATGGACAAAATCTAATAACTTTTGATAGCCATTAAATGAAGACAAGACTGATAAGTCATTGGAAATGTTGAGTAGTTAACAATCAGGGAAAAATACGGGCGTAGTATAAAAATGAAAATTTGACCTTGAATTTGAAGGTCAAACTTACGATTTTTGGGAAAAAAATTATATTTGCTAATGTGCAAAATTCAATAAAAGCTATTTTAACCTCATAAATGTGCGGCAAAAGTTAGCTTCTTACTTTTTGTGAATTTTAGATGCCTTTATGGTTGGTTTATAAAAAAGTATTAGTCCTAACTTAGCCGTAACTTAACCTTAATCTTAGTCTTAAAAATTTAAATGTACAAAATGTATGTATAGAACTAGGGCAAGGTTAAGATTTTTATAAACCGATACATTACATTCTGTACATTTAACTTTTTAAGACTAAGATTAAGGTTAAGTTACGGCTAAGTTAGGACTAATACTTTTTTATAAACCAACCATTATAGACCTAGATACTCTAAACAACACCAATATAACTTTTGAAGAGACTAATTACAAAAACACCAATCTAAGACAGGATAATAATATTTTGAATAGCGACCAAGCAGAGAAGCTAGAAAAAAATAACAGCACAAACTTTAAGGGCCCCATATTCTTTAAATAGTGTTTTCCTCAAAGATAAATAATTTCAAACATTTAATAACTGAATAATCTAAAGCTTATCAAATAATAGGAATGTTATGTCATGCCACCTGGGTATTTTCAAAGACGCCGCAGTAAAACGAATAAACAGGTGCAAAAAACGATCAAACCATCAAGGTTTTAGGTACTGAAATCTACGAAAATACTAACTTTTTTATATATAATTCCACATGTAAATATTCTTATAACATTTACTTGCTTAGTCCTACATATAAAATTGTTTACTTTTATTTATAAGTACGTGAAAATAATTCTTAAAATGTGGGGTTAGAATAACAGCAAACGCATGTTTTACAAACGCTTTTTTTTTAGTTATTATTTTATTTGAGTAAATTTAAATGGTAACAATGAATAAACAAAACATCAAGGATTTTATTTTTGTGCTTAGTTTTGTTCTACACGTTTTATTTTAAAGATTTCAGTACCTAAAAACGCCAGAAATTTCACTATTTCTCGGCCAGGAATATGGCCACCTTAATGATGTTTCTAAAGGCGTCAATGCAAATGAAATAGGAGTTCCAACTGATTTTGAGAACAATATTGCTGTGGAAAAGGAAAATTCCGGGTTAAATGAAGATAAAGACCTAATTGAAAGAGAGAGTAGCTCACAGAGGGAAGAAAATATTGTTTCGGATAATGAAAATAAAATGCACAAAAGGAAGAAGCGACAGTCAAAACTGGACTGGGAATATAATTCTAATGAGAAGAAGAGACAATCGTACATGGGAACAACGAACAACAAATTTGTAGTTCAGGAAAATGAAAGGAAGTTAAAAGTTAGGTGTTCGTGTGAAGAAAGGGGGTCGAAAAAAATCGCTTTGAAATGTTATATCCTAAAGGAAGAAGAAAGACAACAGATTTTTCAAAAATTCTGGAGATTCACATGGGAAGAAAAAAAATATTCGTCCGTGGAAGAGCGATTGCCTTAAGTGTCAAAAGGGTCAGAAACCGAAAATCTGAAGAGGAGTGCCGAAGAAAATGCTCTTATTCTTTTTTTCTAGACAAGAAAAAGGAAAGGGTAAGGGGTAAGCGTGTTGCAAAACCAATGTTTTGCAACACGCTTGGTGTGTCCATGAGAACTATTACTCGCTGGTTAAATAGAAGCCTTAGTTCACCAGAAACCAAAAAACGTGATGATGTAGAAACTAAAAGTAATGATTTCGACAAAAAGAAGCAATTAAGAAATAATGAGAAAAAAATCAGTTTGAGATTTTTTTACCAATTTGCCAAAGCTAGAACCTCATTATTGTCGGAACTCCTCTTCTAAACCTAGAACCACGTTGGAAAAATAAAGCCGAATTGTACGACTTTTACAAAAATGTTTGGTTAACAAGTAGAAAAACAGAACGGGCTGGATTAAGCCTATTTAAATATATTTTTGAAGAATCAAATTTGTCTCTATTTAGTACCAAAAAAAGACGAATGTGACATCTGTGTAGGGTACCGAACACAAAACATTTCAGTGCTAATTTATCAAGAACAGAGAATAAAAAAAGATGAGGCGTGAAATGAAAAAGAAAAAGACAAGGAGTCACTAGATCAAGTTTTCAGTCGAACGTGTCTGCACTTTATTACAAAATTAAATTGATTCTTCATAATTTTACTCTTTTTGAACTTCATACAAAGGATGGTTACTGTTTTTTGTGGCACGAGGGAAAAGGAGAGAGATCTATATAATATCGTGGAGATGACTTTCAATCATGTGTTGCCTCTAAGCCTAGAATAGTTGGTACAGGGGTGCCCCAAGGGTCCATCCTGGGACCTTTATTATTTATTTTGTATATAAATGCCATTGACTCGGTATTAGAAAACATCTGCTTTGCCCTATATGCTGATGATCTCTCGTTAATAATATCGCAAAAAAATGACGAAAGTCTAAATAATAAATGTACTGAAGTTTTGCAATCACTCAACAATTGGTTCAACATGAATGACCTATATTTAAATAGTGAAAACTAGGACAATTCGTTTCCATAATAGGCAAAAGATTTGTGAACCCTTATCGGTAAAGATTAATATACATCAAATGTATCACGGAACCAGTAAAATTTCTAGGTATTTCACTCGACGAACATATGGATTGGAAGCCACATTGTGAAAATTTAGTCAGTTTATTAAACTCCATAAATTTGCTTTTTAAAAACATTAAAGACGTCCTAATAAACATCAGTTAATGAACGTATATTATGCTCAAATAGAATCTCGAATACGATATGGAATTTGTTTATGGGGTGACTCCACCTTATCACAGACTGTTTTTATTTCACAAAAACGTGTGATTAGAACAATTGCCGGTGTTCCAAGTACACGATCTTGCAGAACCCTTTTTGTTGATTTTGATCTCATGACTGTTGCCTCATTATATATTTTAGAAATGTGTATTTATGTTTATAAAAATAGAACAAAGTTTAAAACAAATAGTGATAGTCATCACTTAAATACGAGACAAAAGGATCGATTCCATCTGCTCTACACAAAATATGCTGCTATATCGAAATCACCTGATCATATTGGCTTAATGATTTTTAATAACTTTCCCGGTAACATTAAGCGCTGTAATAACTTGAATATCTTTAAATATACACTAAAAAAATGTTTAATAAAGAAATGTTTTTATTCTGTTTCCGAATTTTATCAATTGTAGTACAGTTTACTTTGTTATGTTAGCATATATAAGTGTATATTGTATACTGTGTGTGTACATCTATATTTGTATTTTTGTGTGGGCCACTGTTGTCCATCATATTGATTCATGTAATGTCCTATAAGCAAAATAAACTAAATAAATAAATAAATAAAAGTTTCAGATCCATCCCGGTCTGCTATAAATGCAATTTTTTGAATATCGATCATATTGGGCACTTCTTTAACAAAAAAATCCGTCCGAAATACTATTCTGATGTTAAACAAAATAATATATGAAATGTATATTATGGACGTAATTTCTCTTTGTTGTCTGACAGAATTTGTTTTACTTCAATATTCTTAAAAACTAAAAAACGAAAACTTTGTCATAAATAAGTAACTATGGCAATATCTTAAGTAAGTTTTGTATTACTGAAAATAATGATAATTAAAAAAAATTCCTTGAAATTCCAATAAGGATCCAATCGGATTCTATGAACATAACTTAAATCATAGAAAGTAAACACAATTGGATACCCATATCTAAAGTCCAAAAGAAAACTACAGCTCATAATGTATCATTGCGCAAACATTGTTTCATAAAAACAACTGCAAGAGTGGACTTTATTCGAGCACTTGATCGAATGGTATAATTCCAGTAGATCCAGAACAAATTCCCATATAGAAGTGAGTAATTAAACACCTTTGAACTAATTCCGTTATTTAGTGAAAACAACAATTAGATAAGTGTTTGTTTTTCCTCATCCACTTGACAAAAATGAACTATATAACACCGGGCAAGAACGAACAACAATCATTCACTTCTCCAGTTTACCAGAAAAGCTGAGTAAAGAAAATAAAAATGAAAACTTTCGTCACTGTCATCTTTTTCATTGCCATTTTTGGCAACATAAATTGTGTGCCACTTAGTAAGTATACAAAAACCTCTTTTTCTGTTTTTCTCTAGCGTTAAAAAAAACTAATATGATGATATTTGTTCCAGAAGAGAAAGACGTAGATCTTGCAGAGAAAATTAGAATGGCCATAGAAAAAATGATTGCAGTCATCCCTGATTCAATTGCCATAAAAGATGTAGACATCAAGATTCCCTCGAATATTTTGATCAAGTAAGATATATTTGACTTGCTTCTTTCTTGATAACAATAGTTTTTTATTTTGACACTGATAATTCTATCATCTATATCTTCCAACTTTTCAACCGTTTTCCTTTTGTGCAGTGGCGATTTCAATATCACCGAAATCTCCATCTCTGGGCTCAAAAACCTGAACATAGAAACCCTGACCTTTGACGAGAGTAAAGGCCAACTTGATTACGTCTTCAATTTTGTTGATATCATCACCATCGTCGAAACTGATCTTCATATGACCGGTCTAGTAAAGTTCGATCACCCTTTGTCAGTCCAGTAAGTATAAGGCCACTCCTTTGGTCAAATTGGGCCAATTTTTTGACATCGACAAAACAGTTCTACAGCATTCAATAATATTTGTTATTTTCTGCTTTTAGTGTTGATTTCAAGGATTTCAAAACAAAAGGACACGCCCTGCTAGCCGAAGACAGGAAAAGCGTGGAGGATTTCAAAATTTTGATCAATTTGGGAGAGTCAGATGTAAGTAGATCTTTTATTTAATAATCACTATTTTTATAACGAAAAGGTGGTAATACAGGGTACCATGTCAAAGTTATGTACTTTTAAATTGTATGTATGCAGAACTTTTAACAAAGTTTACCCATTTTTTTACGGTAAGCCGTAATCAACCAACACGTACTCACCTAAACAGGTTTCTGTAACATTTGCCGTTTGGTCCCTAGCGACCGAGGCGTTACTGATGGCCCACCCTGTATAATGATGATTTGAAAATGTTGATTACTCTGGGTGATAATAGAGACACTGAAGATAATATAATAAACTTTTTTATCATTTTATTGTATTAAATGACGATTATATAGAAAAGTATTTATTTTCTCAAATAGGTACCCTCAAGTACATTATAAATAAAAGATGTTTTTTAACAATAACACTTAAAAAATATTTGAAGAGCATCTGGAGTGGAAAAAATTCGTATAAACTGCTTTTAACAATTTGCTATGCTATCACACATCGGAATAGTTATATTTGTAGAAGTTATTTTCCAAACCAATGCCTAAAAAATCACTTATGATTTATTATGATCTTTTTATGATGCAAAAATGAAACATGTAAATGTGTTGTTTATTTGTACTGTCGAATTAGATCATAAAACCTGAAAACTTGAAAAAATTATTAGTAGACATTTTATTACACTTTATGATGGGGAAGGGTATGTACAGGGTTAAGTCACTATAATCTGACAACATATTGTTGTATATTATTGAGATTACAAAAAAGTTTTTAATACAAAAGTTTTAGCTTTGTTTATGAAATTTTATAATACAGTATTAGAAAAAAACAATTAATAATGGAAATCACTACATTAAAGAATTTTTTTTTTATTTAAATGGAACACCCTATATGTTAGTGCATACTTAGCTTCGTTAAATTGTTCTCTTTTCAAAAATATATAATATGTGACTGTTTGATTCAGGACTTTTCGACATTTCGGTATAAAACTATTTTTGAAAAAAAAAAACAGGAGGGAAAGGATCGCAGTGGCTATGGATGAGGCACGCGGAACAAACAAATGACTTTGACAGAAATTTATTTATCATCATGAAATTATTTCCTATAACAAACTATTTTAACAAAGAAATAATGTTTAGTGAGAATGAAAAATTAAGTTATCCGTTTATTTTATGATAATAATAAAAATCATTCTTGACTTTAACAAGTCTTAACTTTAACAGAATTCTAATACCTAATTAATAAAAACCAACTAAAACACAAATGGTCATAGATGCTCAATCCCCATTAATTTTCAGAACTGCATTTAGTATGAAATGGGAATGCAATTCACTTAAATTTTGTATACATTGATCAACTTTTCGTTCTCACTAAACATTATTTCTTTGTTAAAATAGTCTGTTATAGGAAATAAATTAATGATGATAAATAAACTTCTGTCAAAGTCATTTGTTTGTTCCGCATGCCTCGTCCATAGCCACTGTGATCCGTCAGACATAAATTTCCCTCCTGTTTTTTCAAAAATAGTTTTAAACTGAAATATGTCCAAAAGTCCTGAATCAAATAGTAACAGATATTATATATTTTCGAAAAGAGAAAAATTTAACGAATGCACTAATATATAAAGTGTTCCATTAAAAAAAATATGTTTTTCTTTAATTTAAAGATTTCCATTATTCAATTGTTTTTTCTAATACTGTATTATAAAAATTCATAAAAAAGCTAAAATTTTGTATTAAAAACTTGTTTGTAATTTTAATAATAAACTCACAATAAGTTGTCAGTTTATAGTGACTAATCCTGTACAATGATAATATCAAAAAAGTAACGCGAAAGAGTTGAAGCTAAGTTGGCAAACTGCAAATAAGTGGCTTTACGTGTTTTTTCACTTTTTTTACTGCCCACGAAAATCTAAACAACCTATCGGAATATTAGTTATTTTATGTTATAGGCAAAGAAATTATCTACAATTTAAGGTACCTAGTCATTTTTCATTAATTTGTTAACTGTAAAATAAAGGTCGAACGCGAAAATAGCAGTTTTCGAAAATTATGCATTATTATTGCAAAAAGCGATAGATGTTGATGAAATTTTTGGAAGACGGTCAATCCATTGACTAACATGTGTGTCAAACGCCGATTCCATTGACCCTGAATTTGTTAATTAATTTCGTTTGTTTTTTTTTACAACTAATTGTTTAATTACTAAACGTTAATTTTAGAAGTTAATATCGTAAATATAGGTTCTAACTGATCAAAAAGTTGAAATTAAGTTGCTCTTTACAACTAATAAAGTAAGACGTGCAAAACAGCGTTATAAACAAATTGTCCCAAGGTCAGACAAAAGCCGCTCAGGCATTCGCTCTTTTTCCATTAAATAGAACTTATTTTTACAGTAATTAAAAAAAAAAGAAATCACCTACGCTTCTTTGTTCCCAAGATAATTTTCTTTATAATATTAATTATTAGGGAGATTAGACAATTAAATAAAGGGTTAAACTTTTATCTCCTAAAAGTTTTACATTGATTGTTCATGTAATAAATGCGCTAGCAGCACTAAAAGTTAACGTTAATGAATGGTTTCCCGGCACAAGGGAGAAGGAGGTAGGTTTTAAACCTTTTTATGCAGCTGTCATTTAAAAAAAAAATGACTATCCTTCCTACAACAGTCTTCAATTAAAGGAAAAGTAATAACAATAATAATAATTTTGGGAAAAGGATTCCTTTAATTATTTTTTGTTTCACATTTGGAAAAAACTGTAAATTTTAATCGGTTTATTTATTTATTTATTTATTTANGGTGATTGAACTTCTATTTAACAATTTTCTTTAATTTCCTTTTTCTGCTCAATGAAGCACAAGCTCACACAACGAATTAAATTAGAAATACAGGCAGGAACAATAAAAAAACTTGGAAAAACGCACACAACACTATAAGAATATGGCCACGATCCGTTTGTTTACTTTTGACTTTCCACATGACGTCAGCAAGGTAGCCAAGATGGCGCCGTGCATGCGCAATATCATATCTCTGTATGGTTGTATCATGGGTTCCACATACATATCTCTAACGGTATTGGAGATATTTGTGACGTTTCGTTTTTTATCGATTTTTTTTGTAAGATGTATCCACGTGTCTTCATCGAGGTCTAGTCCCAATGTAAAAATATACTGGGTGTCTCATTTAAATTAACCAAGTTTTTGCTGTTTAAATTTCAGGAAAGTATCCAGCAGTTTTTTGAACACCCTGTACAATGTTAAGTGACCACAAATACAACAATTTATAACTTCAAGGATCTAAAATACACTCTCCAAAGCTGCTTACTTAGAATAATTTTTTTATTGCTGATATTAAATTTCTACTCTAAGCCTGCATTTTCACTAAAATTTAAATATCTCACAAACAATAAGTCCTAGGTATGCAGAGTCTTTAATAAAGTTCACCTATTTCATACTGTATAATGATGATTTCAAAATGTACTCTAGGTGATAATAGAGACACTGAAGATAATATAATAAACTTTTTTAACATTTTATTGTATTAAATGACGATTATATAGAAAAGTTTTTATATCCTCAAGTAGGTACCCTCAAGTACATATATATATAAATAAAAGATGTTTTCTAACAAAAAAATTTAAAAAATAATTGAAGAGCATCTGGAGTGGAAAAAATTCGTTCTACATATAAACTGCTTTTAACAATTTACTATGCTATCACACATCGGAATAGTGATCTTTGTAGAAGTTATTTTCCACAATTTGGTACTGATTTTTTACCTCAAAATAGAATGAAACTATTGCTTTAGCTATACATTCTTATAATTAACGTCTAATAACTTTTGTACTGTGTGACTGATTGAAATTGGTTGCACTTGGTTACACATTGTATTAGTTACTTGGCTTGGTCTCACAAACATTATATCGTCCTTTTTCTCACGTAATAACGTCTCTCAATGTTGTAATTTTTGATATATACGACTGTATGTGAAAAATGGGTAAGCTGAAGCATCGATAATGATGATATGCCTAAAAAATCACTTATGATTTATTATGATCTTTTTATGATGCAAAAATAACACGTGTGTTATTTATTTGTACTGTCGAATTAGATTATAAAACCTGAAAACTTGAAAAAATTATTAGTAGACATTTTATTACACTTTATGACGGGGAAGGGTATGTACAGGGTTAGTCACTATAATCTGACAACGTATTGTTGTTTATTATTGAGATTACAAAAAAGTTTTTAATACAAAAGTTTTAGCTTTGTTTATGAAATTTTATAATACAGTATTAGAAAAAACAATTGAATAATGGAAATCACTAAATTAAAGAAATTTTTTTTATTTAAATGGAACACCCTATATGTTAGTGCATACTTAACTTCGTTAAATTGTTCTCTTTTCAAAAATATATAATATGTTACTGTTTGATTCACGACTTTTCGACATATTTCAGTTTAAAACTATTTAAAAAAAAACAGGAGGGAGAAAGGATCGCAGTGGCTATGGATTTCCATTACTCAATTGTTTTTTCTAATACTGTATTATAAAAATTCATAAAAAAGCTAAAACTTTTGTATTAAAAACTTTTTTGTAATTTTAATAATAAACTCACAATAAGTTGTCAGATTATAGTGACTAATCCTGTGATAATATCAAAAAAGTAATTCGAAAGAATGAAGCTAAGTTGGCAAACTGTAAATAAGTGGCTTTACGTGTTTTTTCACTTTTTTTACTACCCACGAAAATCTAAACAACCTATCGGAATATTAGTTATTTTATGTTATAGGCAAATAAATTATCTACAATTTAAGGTACTTAGTCATTTTTCATTAATTTGTTAACTGTAAAATAAAGGTCGAACACGAAAATAGCAGTTTTCGAAAATTACGCATTATTATTGCAAAAAGCGATAGATGTTGATGAAATTTCTGGAAGACGGTCAATCCAATGACTAACAAGTGTGTTAATTTTAGAAGTTAATATTGTAGATATAGATTCTAATTGATCCAAAGAAACGTATCGAAAAAGAAAAATGTTAAAAAGTTGAAATTAAGTTGCTCTTTACAACTAATAAAGTAAGACATGCAAAACAGTCTTATAAACAAATTGTCCCAAGGTCAGGCAAAAGCCGCTCAGGCATTCGCTCTTTTTGCATTATTAAACTTATTTTTACAGTAATTAAACAAAATAAAAGATAAATAATTTCAAACATTTAATAACTGAACAATCTAAAGCTTATCAAATAATAGGAATGTTATGTCATGCCACCTGAGTATTTTCAAAGACGCCGCAGTAAAACGAATAAACAGGTGCAAAAAACGATCAAACCATCAAGGTTTTAGGTACTGAAATCTACCAAAATACTAACTTTTTTAGACATAACTCCACATGTAAATATTCTTATAACATTTACTTGCATAGTACTACATATAAAATTGTTTACTTTTATTTATAAGTAGGTACGTGAAAATAATTCTTAAAATGTGGGGTTAAGATATCAAAAAACGCATGTTTTACAAAAGCTTCTTTTTAGTTATTATTTTATTTGGGTAAATTTAAATGGTAACAATGAATAAACAAAACATCAAGGATTTTATTTTTGTGCTTACTTTTGTTCTACACGTTTTACTTTTCAAGATTTCAGTACCTAAAAATGCCAGAAATTTCACCATTTCTCGGCCAGGGATATGGCCACCTTAA